CCCCCCTCTCCTCTCCTCTCTCCTGTATAAGTGGAGTTGCAGAGGTGGAGGCAGGAGTCCAGAGGATTACAGTGTTTGGCAGAACACGGGATCCCGCTGAGAGTCCAAACTGTGCTGTTACCCACAATCCTTCACTCTGCGGTCGCCTGAGCTCATTACACTTTCATGAGACGGACTGCTACTGCGGAGTCCGGACTAGACCCAGGAAGTCCTCAAACATGATCCCAGTTCTAAGGTCTCTGCACCGGCTTCCTGTGGCTCAGAGAATAGACTTTAAAGTAGCTCAGGGACTGGTCTCCTGCTGGGACTCTGAGGAGCACAGGGACTGGCCTCCTGCTGGGACTCTGAGGAGCACAGGGACTGGACTCCTGCTGGGACTCTGAGGAGCACAGGGACTGGCCTCCTGCTGGGACTCTGAGGAGCACAGGGACTGGCCTCCTGCTGGGACTCTGAGGAGCACAGGGACTGGACTCCTGCTGGGACTCTGAGGAGCACAGGGACTGGCCTCCTGCTGGGACTCTGAGGAGCACAGGGACTGGCCTCCTGCTGGGACTCTGAGGAGCACAGGGACTGGCCTCCTGCTGGGACTCTGAGGAGCACAGGGACTGGCCTCCTGCTGGGACTCTGAGGAGCACAGGGACTGGCCTCCTGCTGGTCACGGAGTTAGATACAAAACATAGTGTTGTTAGTGTTTGCACTGTTCTAAGCCCCAGCAGGTGGATTACATCAGTAATCAGTACAGACGAAGATTCTAGAAACAGCATTTTAATTGAAAAGAGAGATTGGTATTTTTTTGTTGATATTTTGATTTCACTGCTTCATTCCAAAGTCTCTCCCTTCTACTCTACTCTACTCTACTCTACTCTACTCTACTCTACTCTATCTGGTTGTGTTTCCATTACTTTTTAGTATCTTGTACCACAACGTAGCATCCTACCTAGAGTAGAGTAGAATAAAGTAGGGTAGGGTAGGGTAGAGTAGTGTGGGGTAGAGTAGAGTAGAGTAGAGTAGGGTAGTGTAGAGTCGGGTAGAGCAGGGTAGAGTAGAATAGAGTAGAGTAGAGTACAGTAGAGTAGAGTAGAGTAGAGTAGGGTAGGGTAGGGTAGAGTAGAGTAGAGTAGAGTAGAGTACGGTAGAGTAGAGTAGAGTACAGTACAGTACAGTACAGTACAGTACAGTAGAGTAGAGTACAGTAGAGTAGAGTAGAGTAGAGTACAGTACAGTACAGTACAGTACAGTACAGTACAGTACAGTACAGTACAGAGTAGAGTAGAGTACGGTAGAGTAGAGTAGAGTACAGTACAGTACAGTACAGTACAGTACAGTACAGTAGAGTAGAGTAAAGTAGAGTACAGTAGAGTAGAGTAGAGTAGAGTACAGTACAGTACAGTACAGTAGAGTAGAGTCTTCTTTGCACAGTCCTGAGTCTGTATGTGGTAGATTCCCCAGGAGAGAAACCCTCTTAATGAATCCCAGTCCTGTCTTTACGCCTCGTCGAGTGGAGAGAGAGAGACTGAGTTCATTTCCACATCGTCTCATTAAGAACTTATTACTTTCATCGTTTGAACAAAACAAACTGAGAGCGACGGAGAAACACTAACGAAGGAGATTACACAGATTATGGACAAAGGATTGAATCATTTATGTTCCAACAAATCCACTTGGAACAAACGAGAAACTAGAGAGAGACCAGAGAGAGAGACATGAGAGAGAGACATGAGAGAGAGGCCAGAGAGAGAGAGACCAGAGAGAGAGAGACCAGAGAGAGAGACATGAGAGAGAGACATGAGAGGGAGGCCAGAGAGAGAGACATGAGAGAGAGACCAGAGAGAGAGACCAGAGAGAGAGACATGAGAGAGAGACCAGAGAGAGACCAGAGAGAGAGACATGAGAGAGAGGCCAGAGAGAGAGACCAGAGAGAGAGACATGAGAGAGACCAGAGAGAGAGACATGAGAGAGAGGCCAGAGAGAGAGACCAGAGAGAGAGACATGAGAGAGACCAGAGAGAGAGACCAAAGAGAGAGAGAGACATGAGAGGGACCAGAGAGAGAGAGACATGAGAGAGAAACCAGAGAGAGAAACTAGAGAGAGACCTGAGAGAGAGACATGAGAGAGAGACCAGAGAGAAAGACATGAGAGAGACCAGAGAGAGAGAGACATAAGAGAGAGACCAGAGAGAGAGACGTGAGAGAGACCAGACAGAGACCAGAGATAGAGAGACCAGAGAGAGACCAGAGAGAGAGACCAGAGAGAAAGACATGAGAGAGAGACCAGAGAGAGAGAGACATGAGAGAGAGACATGAGAGAGAGACCAGAGAGAGAGACATGACAGAGAGACCAGAGAGAGAGACCAGAGAGAGAGACATGAGAGAGAGACCAGAGAGAGACCAGAGAGAGAGACATGAGAGAGAGGCCAGAGAGGGAGACCAGAGAGAGAGACATGAGAGAGAGACATGAGAGAGAGACCAGATAGAGAGACATGAGAGAGACCAGAGAGAGAGACCAAAGAGAGAGAGAGACATGAGAGGGACCAGAGAGAGAGAGACATGAGAGAGAAACCAGAGAGAGAGACATGAGAGAGACCAGAGAGGGAGACATGAGAGAGAGACCAGAGAGAGAGACGTGAGAGAGAGACCAGAGAGAGAGACATGAGAGAGACCAGAGAGAGAGACCAAAGAGAGAGAGAGACATGAGAGGGACCAGAGAGAGAGAAACCAGAGAGAGAGACATGAGAGAGACCAGAGAGGGAGACATGAGAGAGAGACCAGAGAGAGAGACGTGAGAGAGAGACCAGAGAGAGAGACATGAGAGAGACCAGAGAGAGAGACCAAAGAGAGAGAGAGACATGAGAGGGACCAGAGAGAGAGAAACCAGAGAGAGAGACATGAGAGAGACCAGAGAGGGAGACATGAGAGAGAGACCAGAGAGAGAGACGTGAGAGAGACCAGAGAGAGAAACTAGAGAGAGACATGAGAGAGACCAGAGAGAGAGACATGAGAGACCAGAGAGAGAGACATGAGAGAGACCAGAGAGAAAGACATGAGAGAGACCAGAGAGAGAGAGACATAAGAGAGAGACCAGAGAGAGAGACGTGAGAGAGACCAGACAGAGACCAGAGATAGAGAGACCAGAGAGAGAGAGACCAGAGAGAAAGACATGAGAGAGAGACCAGAGAGAGAGAGACACATGAGAGAGAGAGCAGAGAGAGAAACTAGAGAGAGACGTGAGAGAGAGACCAGAGAGAGAGACCAGAGAGACACATGAGAGAGCAGAGAGAGATAGAGAGAGAGAAAGAAACGAGAAACCAGAGGGAGACCAGACAGATTCATTTCTGTTATGTCAGTCTTGTTTGTACCAGTTTTCACTTCTCTGTCGTGTTAAAAAGCTGTAGACCTTTGTTATTTCTGACAAACTCAAATAAACTTCCAGGTGGATTTTTCTCTGCTGTGAAAATATGTTTTAGTTTTGACTTCAACAAAATGTGACAATTTAATCTGAGTCTCTTTGTGTTTGAACTGTGTGCCTTTAACCAAGACACAAGACTTTTATACAGCTGCCCTGGGGCACACTGACAGGAGCGAGGCCACCAGTCTGTGCCATCGGCCCCTCCCACCACCACCAACCACTCACACACACACCAGACTCATTCTAATGTGGGGGAAGTGTCTTGCCTAAGGACACAACGGCAGTTTGGCACTTTACAGCCACAGCCGCCCCACTGTGGCACCTGCTGTTCCCAGAGGTCTCCCATCACAGTACTAACCAGGCCCTGTCCTGCTGAGCTTCAGAGGGTACAAATAACAACAACAAATATATCCAGCAATATAAAAATAATCAACACAAAGTCCATATCATGACGTCTGTGCGTGTTTCCAATCTGTCACACTGCCCCCTGGTGGCCCGGACCAGAGAGAGACCAGAGAGAGACCAGAGAGAGACCAGAGAGAGACCAGAGAGAGACCAGAGAGAGACCAGAGAGAGACCAGAGAGAGACCAGAGGGAGACCAGAGAGAGACCAGAGGGAGACCAGAGAGAGACCAGAGAGAGACCAGAGAGAGACCAGAGAGAGACCAAAGAGAGAATCCTCGACCGGATTCTCTCTGTTCTCGGTGACGTCTGTGGCTTGTGCTGAAGCGGAGGAGAGATGACTGTGCAGACACATCACAGAGCTGGGTCTGTGATGTCACATGTAAAAATAAAGTTGCTGAACAGACACAACAGAGAGAGAGAGAGAGGGAGAGAGAGAGAGGGAGAGAGGGAGAGGGAGAGAGAGAGAGGGGGAGAGAGAGAGGGAGAGAGAGAGAGGGGGAGAGAGAGAGGGAGAGAGAGAGAGGGGGAGAGAGAGAGGGGGAGAGAGAGAGGGGGAGAGAGAGAGGAGAGAGAGAGAGAGGGAGAGAGAGAGAGGGGGAGAGAGAGAGGGGGAGAGAGAGAGGGAGAGAGAGAGAGGGGGAGAGAGAGGGAGAGAGAGAGAGGGGGAGAGAGAGAGAGAAACAATCTACATACAACAAAAAACTGAGTATCTCCCTGGTTTCTCTCTCTATAGTCTCCCTCTCTCTCTCCCACTGGTCTCATTATACTTGCTCTCACTCTCTCTGGTCTCTCTGATCTGACTCTTTGGTCTTTCTCTAGTCTCTCTCTGGTCCCTCTTTCTGGACTTCAGTCCTGGATCTACAGCCTCAGTCCTGGGTCTACAGCCTCAGTCCTGGGTCTACAGCCTCAGTCCTGGGTCTACAGCCTCAGTCCTGGGTCTACAGCCTCAGTCCTGGGTCTACAGCCTCAGTCCTGGGTCTACAGCCTCAGTCCTGGGTCTACAGCCTCAGTCCTGGATCTACAGCCTCAGTCCTGGGTCTACGGCCTCAGTCCTGGGTCTACAGCCTCAGTCCTGGATCTACAGCCTCAGTCCTGGGTCTACAGCCTCAGTCCTGGGTCTACAGCCTCAGTCCTGGGTCTACGGCCTCAGTCCTGGGTCTACAGCCTCAGTCCTGGGTCTACAGCCTCAGTCCTGGGTCTACGGCCTCAGTCCTGGGTCTACAGCCTCAGTCCTGGGTCTACGGCCTCAGTCCTGGGTCTACAGCCTCAGTCCTGGGTCTACAGGGAGATCTTTTATAAACAATAATCCTCACTGTCCTCAGAGCATCGTCAGGGAACAGTCCTCA